CCCTCTGTCTGCACGCACATACATGCATGCAAAATTACTTCCAGCTGAGGATGTTTCATGTATTTGATAGAAGACTCTAATCCATGCAAGCTTATGCCACGCTAATCAGGAGACTTAATGGTACCACGAGCTTCTGTCTTGTATTTTGCTGCTACTGCCTAATATCTCTGGAAGTTGACACCCAGCACTGGGAAATTCAAGTCCCCAGGAAATGGAAGCGCTAGATGGCAACCTGCAATCCCCTTGATATTTAGTTTGCTATTTTCCATTCCAGTCATGGACGCAAAGTCCTGCTCAAGGAAAGCTGTGCAAGAAGTCACAAAGGAACTGTTTATTTAAGGCTTTGGGGAACTGTGCTGTCCCTGAGCCAGCCTGACAGGGCCAAACGAAGCAACGTGAAATGTGAAAAAGCAAAACAGTTTTGATTTGTATATAATTTCCGTGCTGGTTAAATGAAACCTTCTCCTTGTCAAATATGCAGACGTGATGCTCAAAAAATGCAGCTCAGTCCGAGACAGTTCTGAAACAGCCCCCTCTAATTCAAGGGGAAAGTTCTGTTTTTCAAACAAAAACTGCAGCGAGCAGCGAATTCAGATGGTGGGTACTAACAAAAATGAAACCAAAACAGCATCAGTTAGAAATAAGAGGGAGTTATCTCAGCAAGCTTAAGGGAACTGTGATGTTTACAAACATTTTAATTTTAAAAACATTAAAAAACCAACCCCTAAGAAGTAATCCCACTCCCATCTAAAAAACAAACAAAAAACGAATGAGAACTGGACATACCTATTAGTCAAAGAACATAGGGTGAGAACTGGAAAAGCAACGTGGAGTGGAGTGAGCTGGAAGTGTGGAATGCCCTGCCTAGGGGAAAGGACTGAGCAGGAGAGAGGACGTGCTGCAACATTTTGTGGCAGCTCCCCCTTTTGCTCCTTTGAATAGAAAATCGGAATGTGTGAGAGCACAGACCCACGAATGCCTGGGCAGGCAGAAAAGACCTTACAACTCTCAGTAGCCCCAGCTTTCCATGCTGTCTGCCTAACTGTACATTGGACTGCAGATAGTGACAATACATGGCATTGTAGGTTTTTCTAGGCATGAATAGGACTGCACTCGAAGTGCCTGTGGGCTTGGGAACTAAATAGGGTCATCCCCCAAAAAGGACGTGATCTCTATATACTTGGGAGTCTCCATAAGTACATATACATGTATTATCTTGTAACTCAGAAGGGAAGGGAAGGGAAGGGAAAGGAAGGGAAGGGAAGGGAACCCAAAGTGGCTTTTACCAATACCTTTGGAAAGATATTGACACATAAAGTAATTGTAACAATAAACATCCTGAATCTATTGCTTTGACGGCTCTCCTGCACATACTAGGAAACACTGAAGGTAGAAGGAGAGGAAGACCAAATATGGGATGGCTCAAACCCATCGAGGAAGCCGCAGCCTGGGGTTGACAAGGGCCGTTTCGGACGGCACTCATTCACAGGGTCACTGTGAGTCCAAAACGTGAGAGCAACCAGAACTGAAGTGGAAGGGAAAGGAAATCAGACCAGAAAAGGAATGCAAGTGTTGGCAGATGAATTTAGTTTAGGAGAACTGGCTTAAAGGTTTTCCTTCCAAAAGGGGTTTCAGTTCTACAGCCCACCAGACTCTCCAATTAACAACAGAAATATAACTACAAAATGTGTGGTGGGTATGCAAGAATGGTATTTGTGTTTGCACTCTCTCTGCAACAAACTTGCAAGTATTGTGATGTCAAGAGGTGCTTGCAGGATAGGCTGTGGAGGAAGACTAAAATGGAGATTGAGATCTGAGCTGAAGACGTCTTCGCTTATACTGCATCAGCCTATGCATTGCATGAGAGAATTCCAACCTCAGCTTCTCAGAATCCTAACCAATCACGCACCCTTACGTTCTTGCCCCAAAACTCTCCTCAGTCCTGTGAAACAACCACCTCCTGCTGTAGCCATAATGATCTCCCCAGCAGCAGCGTTAATGCTGAGTGGATGCTGTGGACCATTGAGTTCTGATACTTCGAAATGAACTCCGCAGTGTGTGGACGGCAATCTCCGCAGCATGGCAGGTTCACATCCAGGCTTGGCCTTTTGCACAACCAACCCAACAAGATACATGGAGAAATACTATTCTTGGGAGCACCGGTGAATCAATGTATGATCACACAGATCACATGTGCTATTAATGCTCCCCAGTGTCATCTTCAATAACTTCTTGAGATTATCTTTCTAGGATCAGCTGATGATTTGGATATTTTCAAGGCGACCAGGAATGGTATGAGAAACCATAACAAAAGTTGTTATCCTGTCATTCTCGCTTTGGAGTGTGCTACCCCAGCTCAATCCTCACACCATCTTTAGGGCAGCCTTTCCAACCGGGTGTCCTCCAGGTGTGTTGGACTACAGTACCATCACCCCAGTCAGCCTCAGCCACTGGCCACATGATGGGTGCTGTGTTGGACTGCAGCACATCTGGAGGTCAGCAGGATGGGGAAGACTGCTTTTTAGTAATAAACAAAAGTTTAGAACATCATCCACCAGTTTGAGCTGACTGGCTGATTTCATTCATTGCAAAGAAAACATCTGCAGTCTATTGGAAACCACGTGACTCAGAAAAATACATCTCCTGCAGAACGCGTGTTGAATTCATAGAAATCCTAACACATTTGAATCCCTACTTTTAGATGAGGTTACTCTCGTGATATCGTGCTGCCTCTTTCACGAAGATGTTTGAGGGGTCCAGACACTGCCTTCTTCTCCTTGCAGCCCTTTATGCATTTACCTGCTGCTTCCTCTGGATTTTTTCCTCCTTACTGCAGAAAAGCACATGGAATAGCTGCACAAGGCCTTCTCTTTGGCAGCATTAGACTAATGATCCAATCTCACACTGTCTCCATTTTATAAGTGCTGTGCATTTGGCAGGGCTGGAACCCAGCAGACGAGTACAAAATGAGCGTTCCTCGCCACATCCCTGGCTCCAGCCTCGAAAGAGAAAAACGGCCCTGGGGGAATTGCGAAAACTATGGCTCAGGAGATTCAGCTAGGACTACAGTATTTATCATCCCCTTCAAGATAAATCTCTCCATGGCATGACAGTCTTCCCTTTGAGCCCACTCATTCTTACCTGCGTAGGCTGGATCCAGCTCTTTCCATCACAACTCAAAGGGAACTGCAGCTGCCCCAGCCTGACTGAGAGAGGAAAGGAGCAACACCCAAACCTCACCTCCTGCAGGTGTAGCCACATGCACCCCAATCCGCACTGCCATGTTCACCTGGGGAGCCCTTGAGGGGGGTGCCCTGGCCCAGTGGCAGGCTGTATTTGGCACAGAGAAGGCCCCCTGTTCAAGTCCCGGCACCTCAGTTAAGGGAACCTGGAAAGAGGTGCTGGAAAAGAGATGCTGGGAAGGCTTGCCGGCCAGAATAGCCAACGGGTCGGATGGGCTAGTCATCTGAGGTGGCCAAAGGACAGCTTTCTGCACTTCTATTCCCATCCACATGACTACTGCCAAACAGGGGGCTGGGTCTGGGCACAGGAGGGAATTGGACAGCAATTAAGGGTGGTGGATCCTCATCCCAAAATCCTGCCCACCTTTTTAAATGCCTCAGGGGAGGAACACTACTACAACTAAGAGGGTCAGCCCATGAAGCTGATGATGGAAGATTCAAGACAGAGGTCTTCACACAGTGCACAGTCCAGCAACAGAATTCATTTCCACAAGTATGGGCAGCTTTGAGAGGTGACTGCACAAGTTCATGGAGAAGGCCATCAGTGGCTGCTAGTCCTCATGGCTCTATGCTTCCTCCAGTATCAACACAGTACAGCCAGTGTTGTGTAGTGGTTCAGAGCATGGGACTGGGACTCAGAGGATCCAGGTTCTAGTCCCCACTCAGCCATGGAACCAACTGGGTGACTTTGGGCCAGCCACAGACTCTCAGCCCAACCTACCTCACAGGGTTGTTGTGGGGATAAGATGGAGAAGGAAATGTAAACTGCCTTGAGCCCTTTGTAGGAAAAAGGCAGGATATAAATCTCAATAAAAATAAATAAATAAAAATAAATGTACCCTAGTGGCTGGGAAACAGGCAGCAGGTCCTGTTGTTCTGATGTCCTGCAGGCAGTTGGTTGGCTACTGTGTGAACAGAATGCTGCCCTGGATGGGTCTTGGTTGGATCAAGCAGGGCTTCTCTTAAGTTCTTATGGATGCCCTGCTCAGTTTCCCCACTGGAGTCTTTCCACCTTCTCCCAGAACTACAGGGTGCCAACGAAAAGAGGAGGAAAGTATTCACAGTATCTCACTCACTTCATCAAGGCAGAGGAATCTTGGGGAAAGAAACCTGTCCTCTAGACCACTAGGAATGGGAAGATCTGCCAGTTTTGGTTTCTCTCAGTTTCTCATTTTCCCAGTTGTACATTCAGATTGTCTTAAATGTCTGAGGCTTAAATCCCAAACTCTGAGATTTTTTTTAATTGAATGAAAATGCATATGCATTTGTGCATATTTCTCCTAATAAATATATATTATATACCCATTTTGCCTCATATATACATGCTTTGCCATCAATTGCACTTTGGAACATTATTTGCCCTAATACATGTAACTTTGTGTGCTGTTGCTGCTTCCTTTTTCTGAAGAATTTCCATCATAAAATTCAAAAATTCAAAGCATAACTTTTGCTTTGTGCTGCAGAACAAAAATTTAAAATTCAGAAAGAGTGGATTAGTTGGGCCTAGATTATGGCCTGAAGGCACAGAAGGCATCCACCATGTTGAAACTAAGCAGGCCTGGGAATGGCCTGAGCTTGGAGGGGAGACCACCTGGGAACCACAAGTAGCCACCTTGAGTCCCACAGTGGGAGAAAAGTGGGATATAATTAAGAACAACTGAACTTTCTCTCCAAACACCTTTCCTGCTCCCAAGCCAACGCAAATCATCCACTCACCCATGCAGGCTTGGTACCCAGCCCAACGATAAGTCCCATCAATGCTTCTTTAGATATTTATTTATTTACACCTACAATTAAGAAATGAGAAGGAAGATTTCCACAAGGGGTGCAGAGATGACTCTGTGAAAGGTTCCCCACCCTGCTTCCAGATTAGTTTGAGTGTGAACCATTGACAGTTCAGGATAGAAGCAAGCCGCCCCCCTCTCCTCCTCAACCAGCACAAAGCAAGTCCGCTACAGGTCCCCAGACTGCCACTGAATGACCCTGCCCTGGATGAGCTGCTGGTTTCCTTCAGTCTCTTCTCTAGACACAAGAGCCGGGGGGCAGAGACCACTCAACCACCTCTGTTGTCTTGTCACGCTCCAAGCCAGGAGGGACTATCTGTCTCTGGCCATGCTGATCGGTTCGGCTTTCAAAGGAGCAGCCTAACTGAGGGTTAAGCGGAAGAGCAGGCCCAAAATCTCCCTGCATACCATGGGGAGGCTTTTCATTGCAGCAAGAGAAAGCAGGTTCAGCCTTGTCTAGAGCTGAGCGCTAGAACTAAGCCAGCCAAAAGGCTGGGGTGACAGCCCCTTCGCTCTCCCCGAAGGAGTGCGCCCTCCCAGCAGCAGGCCTAGCGCGGGTGCATCGGGGCTTGCAAGCTAAGAGGGGCTGGGATCACCATGAGGGCATCTGGGCACAGTTAACGAGTCAAGAAGCCTGGCTTGGCCGGGGCTAGGGGTGCGAGGCTAGTGCTGAGCTGAGCAGGAAAGGGAGCGCTTGGGGTCCGCGGGAGTGGCAAATCAGGAGCAGCCTAGGAGGAAAAAGAAAACACGGGAGTGAGGCAGGAAGGCAGAACTTAAACATGGAGAAGTCTGAGGACCAGAACGAGCTGCCGTGAGGGCCCAGTGGCACCAAAAGAACGTCTCAGGGTTTCCTTTGCCTTCTTGCTCTGACAGATGCCTTCCTATTACTTCACTTGTGCTACTCATATCGCAACTTCATGCCTGGCTGACAGTCCATTTCCAGGCAGTTTCCAAAGGACTCACCCTTCCTGGATGCAGCTGGGCAGCTTTGGCACAACGCTGAAGAAGCTCAGGCCCAAATCCAGCCCTTGGGGGTTTCCCAGATGGTGGCACCCCTTCTGTTAGCCCCATGTATGAATTGTCAGGTGCTTTCCCAGCTTCTGAGAAGCTTTCTTCCTCCTCATTTTAGAAGGCTGGGATGCCTCTGCCAGATAAAGACCTCTGAATCTTTCCCCACACCTTTCTTTTTGTGAAAAGGTTGACGGAAAGGATTTTGATGTGCTGCCCTGCTTTGAATACTGCTGTGTTTCGGTAACTGGCACTTTATTGCGGAATGTTCTTTTATTCAAGTTCCCTCAAGAGCGGAAAGGATATTCCATATTCTACCCTGGAGACAGAATATTGTTTTCATGTAGATTTGTAAAACCTGGGAGCAGGTGATACCCGGTTTCAGGGATATTCAAGGGCATCATCCGCATATTCGTTTGCAACAATGCACTGGCACTGCTAGATCCACATGCACTCCACTACTTCTGTTCCTTTGAAAAAATAAAAACGAGATAAAGGGATGAATGAAGGAACATGAAGATCACTAACCCTTTGCTAACGAAGGGTGCAATTCTATGCGTGCTTAGACCGAGGAAAGCCCTACAGCTCCCAGACATGCTAGCTGGGGATACTGGGATCTGTAGGACTTTCTAGACAGTTGTATAGTTGTTTGAACACCAGCTTAGACCTCAGGAAGCTCAGGCTGAAATCTCCACCCAGCCCTGAAGCTCAGTGGTCTATTTATTTATTTTCTTGCTTTTATATACCATCCAATAGCCAGATATTGATCATGGTTGACCTTGGCCAGGCACCCTCTTCTAGACCAACCCCCTTCAGGGGGTGGTCATTAGGATAAAATGAATGCTTGAAGTGATTTAATGGCAGAGTTTTCTCAGAGAATTTGAATTTGAAGCAGCTAGCATGCAGAAAACAGTATGTATTTATCAGTGCATACAGGTAGTGCCCGAGCTACAAATGTCTGAGTTATGAACATCCCATACGTATGAACAAACAGCATTTGTTTTTATTAGAATTATTAATTATACTTAGAAATTGTTATTTCTAAAAAATTAGAAGAAAATAGAACATTAGAAATAATTAATATAATTAGAAAAAAATACTGCAGAAAATTTTCATCGCCACAGAGAGAGGAAGTGACAGGGGAGAGAGGGAAGCATCCGCAGCGTGCCTTCCTGTCCTACCCAAGAGGAAAACCTCGCCATCATTTCCTCACTGCAAAGAGGAGGCACTGGTGAGTTTGGATGGGGGTGGGTGGGCAGAGATACTCATGGTTTTCGCAGGGGTCCTGCACCCCCGACCCCCACAAATGTGGAGGGCCAACTACAAGTGATCCAACTTACATTCACATTCAACTTAAAAATGAATTTCCATTTTCTCCGGAGCAGAACTCGTTCATAACCTGGGGACTGCCTGTGTTAGTAACCAGGAATAGGCCTTCTCTCCTTGTGCTGCTTCACAACACACATGTGTGTCACTTGACAGTTTGCTGCCGAAGCTGGAAACTTCCCCACGAAGAAACACTGCCCAGTTCTGATGTTCCCGGGAACTTCTGCACGATGGCAAAGAAATGTAACCACCCTTCCTTCACAATGCAGATGGAGATTTCTCCAAGCTGGCACCTTTCAGCAGCCATGCTGGCTACCGCCGATGGGAAGGGTAATCCCGCACAACTGGAGAACACCAGGCCACGACAGCTGCATGGCCCAGAGGTCCTACTTCTTGCCCTCCAGCTGTTGCATGGAGAGCCCAGCTCTTGCGTGGCCTCCTCAGTCCAAAAGAGGAGAGGGGGCAGAGTTGTTCCTCCCATTCATGACAATGTGGGATCAGTGTTTGAGGTGACATGGAAATGCTCTCTGGATGCTTGGACTCCAATACTTAATTCATGTGTAAATACTGCCAGGTGATGTCAGTCAACACGTGGTACACACCAACACTCATTTGGAATGAAGTTCTGTTTCCAATACCACCTGGAGCTCACAAAACCCACAGGAAGGTAGAGAGGAGAGGGCAGAACTGTTGTTGTTTATATAATGAACAAAGCTGGGGACTGGTCTAGAAATGCATTAAGGTGGCAGCCCGACTGAAGTTAGCCCAACCAGACATGGCACTGTTGTACTTTCCAGAAGCAACTCACCAATTACAGGTGTTGTCTATCTCATCCTGGTGGATAAACCTAGTGAGGTTTCAGAAAGATACACGTTTTTAAAAAAGAAAGAAAGAGAAAGGGCTGTTTCCCTGAAAAGATTAATTCTGTCCTTTTGCTAATACTCCCCAGGCTAAGACAGTCTGTTCCCTCCAGTGTCTCTTACGAGACAGATCAAAACAGCCCCAGAGCCCATCTTGGCCCAGAGTACATGATCTAGGCAGACAACAGACACATTACTGTCCCGTCATGATGCAAAGAACTAATATCCCACTGTGGAGGTTTGTGTTCTCCCATCCTCCGAGTAGGAAAGCCATTTCTATATCAAATTCTTCGTACAATTTGACCCATCACAAGCCTCAACCTGATACATGATTCACACTGATCTCCCGGTGTTATAAAGGATGTTTACAGCTCTGTGCTCTCCTTGCATTCCTCCAGCTTCAGTGTCTTGTCATGGTGGGACACATGAGCATCTGTGGGCCTCTTCTGGCCAGCCTCAACGCTACTTGGGTTCAAAAGAGTGCTTCAGAACTCAGGTTCTGGGGCACATGACTTTCCTTTTAGTCTCCTCAGTTTGCTTTCCGGGAAAGGATTATTTTATGCCCCTAACACTCTCTTGAACTACTGCAAGATGCAAGCAAAGGAACCAGTGACAGTTCTTGCAAAATTCCACATGTGCCTGCTGATCCAGAAAGGCTCCTGCATGCAGAACCTATAATCTGGTAGAGAAGCAGGCTCTGCTTCTCTCTCTCGTTTCTAGTCCTCAAGTTTTAAGGAAAACTGAGGCCCAATGGGGGAAAGGGAAGAAGGGTGACTGGAACAGGATGAATCTTACGCCGGATTGAACTGCGCAGGGTGCCTTCTTCCTCATCAGGTTCACCCGTCCTGGAAACCAAACAAAACAGGCATATGTTTCTCAAATTCCTAGCTTTGTTCACAACTCTCAAGAACTTTTCTGTGCAACCAAGATATTTTAATGCAAATAACTGACTTCATTTTGGGCACCCCAAAGAGGCTGCTGCTTCCTAGGAAACCTGAGGATATGGTACAAGAGCAAAGCAATACCTCCCCCTGCTGGAAGGTGGCAGAAATAACTGCTTTACAGCACACTAGCCATGATTATTAGTGAAAGTAATGGGAGTCAATGGTTCTTGCCAATTCAGTAGGATGCAGAGAAAGGGGACACCAGAAAGGATGCTGCAGTGGGCTACCATCCCTCTTAGCCAGAACTGTGACTCCAAACCACAATGCACATGGAATCTCTAGATCACCAGTGCTGTTCTCCCATGTGCCCACACCAAGCTGGCACTCCAACGGTCAATCCGAACGCACTGCGAATAGCACAGGGTGTGTCAGGGTGAGGGGGATGGAACGGAGTTCTCTGGAAGAGGGCATGCCTGGCAGGCTGCTGCCTTGCACTCGTTGCAGGTGCTAGTTATTATTATTATTTATTATTATTATTATTATTATTATTATTATTAGAGCTCCTTTGCTCTAAGTCAATGAACAGACAACTGGAAGCCCAAGGGTTTAATCTCAGATACTTTGTCTCCGGTTCTTAATGCAGCCACCAAGTTGAAGGGATTCTGCCATATAAGCACACCCTTCTTTCCCCCTGGTGAATAAGGTGCATTAGATACAAATGACAGCATTAAAAGGCTCCTCCTCTTTCTGCCAGTGTCGCGCCACCTGCACAGCAAGCAGCACTGGCAGAATCCCCTCTTCTGCACACCTTTTAAAAGGGGCGGAAGTCCTGTCTGATTCTAGCATCTGGCCGCACTGAATACCGCCACACAACCAAACGTCACCTTTTTAGCTTTTACTCCAGGACTTACTTCATGACCAAGGCAAAGGGGGCCTTAGCACCCCAGCATCCCACACCCCCTGCAAAGGCCTGGGAGGAGCCCTCCACCAAGCCACCTCAGCTGGTAATATCTGCATGTGAGCCCACATCCAGGGGAGAAACTGCCAGAGCCTCCACTGCCGTTTGCAGAGGGGAAGGAATTAAGAGAGGCCTTTGCTTGCATCGCAGGCGGCAAGGTGGCCAGAACCAATCTCATGGGAACACTGTCTCTTCCTCAGTTGAAAACAGCATCCCTGTTCAACAAGGTCCTAGTCAGCAGGCCCCAAACTGGTGCCCTGAGGATGGCTGCAAATGGTGGCCAACGGAGGACACAAAGCTGGGGGTGGGAAAGTTAGTATATCCTCTGGATCTGGCCCTAAATATTTGACAATCACCAGCTGCTAGATGCTCCCTCACCTGCCTGTCATGAACCTTCTCTGATTTTTTTTCTTTGCAATAACTGGAAGAAGAGGTGTATCTCCTTGGATCTTCACAAGCAGACTTTGGTCCATTTCAGCCTTTCGTTTTTGTAGCCAGGGCTGGCAACAAGATTGGATGCCTCTGTCCTCAGTAGCCTGGCTTTTCTGTTTCTGTTTTAAAAGCTGCTGCATTAAACAGGATTTGCTGCCACCACAGTAAGCAGCACAACTGGGACCCGCAATCCATTGCTCTGAGAAAGGATAGCTCACAGCAGGGCTGGCATGGGGCAGGCATTATGGCGAGCCCCAGGCGCCACTCCCTGGCTGGCCACTCCACCCACGGCTGCTGCCTGAGCCATGCGACTTGCCTTGCCTCACGAGGAGCAGTCATGTTTCTGGCCCGTGTCTCAAATTTCCTGGGGAGTCAGTGCTGGCTGAGGCCAGCAAAGGATACGCTGCAAGAAACTTTCCCCAGAGGGGAAAGGACTTGCAGCCTGCCGGCATTCATGATTTTGCAATGCCCAACTTTCCCCGTTGTGCCAGAAAAGCTGTATATAATTTCAAAATTAAAACATCATTTACAGATAAACATTTACAAAATGTTTACCGTTATAACCTTTTAATACCAAATCTCTCCCTGCTTGCAATTCCGGCTCCCTCCCTGAAGAAAGCAATTATTAGCACAGGCACAGCTGAGGAAATAAAATCCCGATATTGAATGTATCTTCCCCAGCAGGAAGATGAAGAGACAATTCAAATGGGAGAGTGAGAAAGAGGAAAGACAAGGAGAACTGGCATTTATTGCCTTCAGTGCAAGCAAGCAGCTGGGATCATATTCCCCAGTGTGCAGCTAGCTATTCTCACACTATGGGCATACGTAGCCCTACGAAAGTGTTCGAAGAGCACATGTGGACATAAAGCAGCTTTCCCTAATCTGATGAATGTCCAGGGGTGCTGTACTGCAACCTCCCTCATCCCCAGCCACCACATAACCAAGCACTACCTTTTTAGCATTTTAGCATGGCCAGTCAAAGTATGGAATGGCAACACGGACACCCCTGTGCCCACATGGACCGGCTCCATCCCCATCCTTACCATGTTGAGTAGGAACAGACTTAGACTCCTCCCCTCAGTGGGGGTCAAACAGGCTGGGAGAGGGACGTTGGGGGCCCTGCTTTCTGCCCACGTCTATTCTTTAAATGCCTGCATGGAGCTTCTGCCTCTCTCTGTACTAGATCAGTCATCTGCATGTGTCATATTATACAGCCTCCATTCCTCCATAATACCACCTCCAAACATAGTAGAATTTCCACTCCTTCGTAACATGAGCCTCACTCATAATCCAGCCTCTATTCCAAACCTCCCACTCAGTTCAGCTTCTCAGGAGAAAGCTGTTACCTTTGTTGCTGGTTGAACTTGCAACGGCAGCGCCGACCTGGGAAAGAAAGACAAATGCCAAATATTGTGAGCTGCATGGAAGGATTAGAACGTGGGGGGGGGGGGGCAGGCTAGTGTTTCCAGCCAATTTCTGGAAGGACGGTGCTGGTAAGTGGTTGGAGCAGAACGCATCCCACATGCAGAAGGCCAGTGGCAGTCCCCAGGCTGAGGCCTGGTTTCCACAGGTTCCTCGTGGCAGGGTAGGGATGGCAGCACCGAGAGCTCATCTGGCCAGAGGCGATGTGGTTGGGCCGGAGATGCCGCGCAGCCAACACAGGGCTGGATGGTGGAAGAGGTGAGGGCCAGATCTGATGCATGTTCAGACAGAAAACGTGCTGCAGCTGCTGTCTAGGCAGCCTGGCGCATGCTGGGAACTGCAGGCCTTTTCCTGCCTCAGGAAGCACAGAATTGCTTTTTGCAAAAAGCAGTTCTGTACATTCCTGCAGGGAGGGCGGGATGGGATGTTCTCAGCCCATCCCCTTTTGATACCACCCCAACTGCTTTCCACTCCTTTTCCCCCTGCTGGAAGGGGATCAACAGCCAGGGTTTTGCTGGTTGGGGCAGGAAAGGGAAAGGGCGGGCCAGGTAGATGGCGTGTCTGCAGTTACATTTCATTAAAGCAACCTGCTGGGGACAAAAGGCACACGTGACATGCAGTTCGGTCCTGACTCGGCGTGAGGCAGCTGCAGCTGCAGTCTGTGGGGACACCTACTTACTGAGCACAATCAGGATGCCAAGAAGGAACAGAACGACGGCAAAAACCAGCCCCCCGATTCTCAGCGACTGATAATCTGGGGAGGAAGAAGGCAGGTGTGAAGTTGGTCCGGCTGGGAACATCCCCCTCATTTGCAGTGGGGCAGCCTTGTCCCAGAATGGACTACAGCCCCCACCATCCCCAGCCACCATGGCCACTGGGGTCTTTGCATTCAGGGAAGCAGCACTGGGGGTCATCTGCATGGGTTTGACAGTCTGAAGTAAATTCCAGAAATTCAGGATATTCAATTGGGTACTTTTGGTTCATAATTCCTCAAGCTCTCTGGAGACTTTCTGTCCTTGCAGTCAGTTCTGCAGCCCCAGGAAGGCCGTTAGCAACAATTAACTCACCATAATTGAAGGGATCGTGAGGCTGGTCCTTCGGTGGTTCTGGAAGAGACGTGCAGCAATGAGCAACAGGAGTGCCCCAAGTTAATCACTTCAGTTGCTTTGCATCAGATTACTTTGCATTTGTCTTTCCTGATCTTGATAAAACAATTTGTGAGCAACGTGTTATGGCTGCCCATCTCCTGGCTGGGACAGGTTTAGAACCAGCTAAACCAGGCTATAAATCTAATCGGTAACAATAAATAATAAACTTTAAAATGCCTGAGAGAAAAGGTAGATTTTTCTTTCTTTTCTGGCACCAAAAAGATAACCATGTAGGCAAGGGGAGAGCCTCTTTGAGGAGGGCATTGCAAAACCAAGAAGCCACAACTGAGAAGGCTCCCTCCTTTACCTGGTTCACATCCATCAACAGGGGCATCTGGAGAGGCTGTGAAGATGACCTAAGGTCCTAGCTGGTGGATGCAGGAAAAGATGCTCCTTTTAGGCACTGGGTCTCTGAGCCAGTTTCACAGATCAAGTGCATATTCTGACTTGGACTGAGATATGATGCTTAGGACATGCTGGCCTTGCACAGTCATGTCATGTCAACCAGTTCGAAGCTGGTTCAGAGAGCAGCCAGGTGCAGAATAGCAGTTCAGGCAAGGGGCACATAGGCTAAGAAGGAAAGAGCGGGGCACTCAGGCCAAGAATTTGTGGACAATTCCAGAAACAAGCTCACAACTGCACAGCCGGTGTTCTTTTTCAGTGTGCCTCCTGAGAGAAGCCAGACAGATGCTGGGGGCAGTTCCAAAGCAGGGCAGTCAGGGGATCTCTCTTCTTTGGTCAGCTTCCAGTATGTAATATTCACATATAAACTAGTCCAGATGGGAAAAGCTTGGAAAACCAGGATGCAATCTCATGCGTGCTGAGACGGGAAGTCATACAGCTCCCAAGCATCCCCAGCAAGCTGTGCTGATGGGGCCAAGCTGGGAAATGTAGGGATTTTCCTGTCAAAACATGCATAGAATTGGACCTAAGCCATCGGGTGGGGAGGAGGGGGGAAGCGTGCTTATTTTTGCCACAGTGCTGCTCAAGATTCAGCCACAAATTCTGTTTGTGTAAGTAGCCACTGTGCAAATGGCTTTCAAAGCCAATTGCAGGCATGGGTGGCAAACTGTCATATGGATCCAGAAACGGGGAGGGGGGCTTTAATTTTTGGCCCCCTACCACAGCCATGATTGCTCCCAAACCTGCTATTTGCATTTGGAGGCATTGCTCCCATTCAGCCAATAGAAACTCTGTCACCCACCTGCTTGCAAATAGCAGGTCCCAAGCACATTGATCCAGATGGGGGGAGCATCAGGAGTGAAAGGATTGAAGCTGCCCCCCCCCCCCGGTCACCTCTGTTTTAAAGCCATTTGCTTCATTGTTAATTCTGTTAATGGTGGGTCTGCTTATGTGGCTCCAAGCTGTTGATTTTGCAAATGTAGGAGGGCTCAGGAGTGGTTGGAATGGGTGAGATTCAGGGGTTGGGTTTGCAGATTTCATTTGTGGGGTAGGGGGCACTGCTCCTTCCTCCCTAATTAGGTAGTGCAGCCAGCAGCTCCCCTTTTCTCCCTAAGTTGCCAGATCAAAGCAGAGTTGCTTTCTTAGGATGCATCTCACTCTTACATTCATTAAGCCATGCAAAAGATCCAATGCAAATTAATTTAAGAGCAGTAGTTAAGCAAAACTGAGCAGTATAATTCTTCAGCCCCCAAAATGTACTCCAATTATGAAGCATCTTATTTTTAATGCATGCTTCCTACCCTTAGGAATGCAGATGTTAAGAAACTCAGCACAGTTTGATCAGTCTTATTAGAAAAGCATGGCCACGGAGAGGGGTGCAGGGAAGGAAATCCAGTAATGGATGATTCGATCAAGGGAAGGGCCCACAGCTCAGTATTTTCAGTCCCTGTCACTCCAGATGAAAAATCCTCCAATATAACTGTAGAAAAAGAGGTCTACAGGAGAGACCTTGAAGTGCCTGCTAGTCAGAAAGACAAATACTGAGCCAGTTGGACAATTCTGCCTTCATGCGATGGAAGAGTTTTCAGCTCTGTTGCCGACTGTAATTGGTGCTCTGCACACAAGAACAGAATTTGCAGTTTGTCATCATGCAATTCTGAGCCTACGGCATGCGAGAAGAGAGGCTACAAGCCAGTGGGGGGGGTTTGCCCCAGCACTTGTAGAAATGCAGAAAACATTTGAGAAATGTCTGCCAAACATTTAGACACCAGAAGGAGCTAAACAAATCTTCCAGACTGTTACACAGCTCCCTTCCAAGCTAAGAAGAAGCAGAGTAAGCTAATGCATGCACATTTCTGCCAAATGGCTTGTCTTTTCTCTTTTAAAGCAAGGAGGACAACAACCTGCAACCCTTATTTTTAACTGGCCAAATATCAGCAGATATTTGACATATTTTCCTCTTCCTCCCTTCCTCTTCCTCCCCAGCCATCCACCAACCTTACCTGAAACTGTGGGTCCTATCATGAAGCCACACAGAAGCAGAAGGATCCACGTATACATGGCTATCCTGAGAAGGGATAAGAGGAAAGACAGTCAGATCCTTGACTGAGGCAAAGCAAAAGAGGCTGCCCCTTAAAAAAGAAAGCAAAAAAGCAAAAGCCCTCTCACCTCTCAAGGTCCCATCCTTGGCCACAGGTAGCCTTTAGAACACTCTACAAATGAGCAAAGCTGATCAAAGGGTGAGGAAGGGCACTCTGCAGAGATGAACAACATTGGAGGACTACGCTTGATGTACAGGGAGAGCTATGCTGAGCTTTGCTGGGTTTTTCCAGCTCTTGGGACTCTTGAGGAAGACTGCAAATAAAGTTCTCGTTAAGGGGGAACCCCCTCTCTTGCTTCAAATTTGTGGCGGAGGGGGCTGTGTCCCCTCCCTGGGCTCATCTTGCTTCATCACCACCTGTTTCTCACAGAAGCACATCATCCAAGAGAAGCACTTCTGGATAACTTGATTTCTGCCCCATCTGCATCACACACAGAGACAATTCTCTCAGGAATGAAATAAGGTGAAGGAAGACTCTCATTCCAAGGGGAAGTGTAGGAGCAAAGCCAGCAGCCCCTCGCTGCTCACAGAAGAATGCCGCCCCTCCCCATTTGTCCCCAATCCTCCCACCCCCAATTTCACAGCTTGCACATAGGTAGCAAAATTGTGCAGGGAGTTGCTCAGCCTTTGGATCTATCTTGTACCTTTGGGTCCATCATCTACAGTGTTTTCAGGGAACAATGTCATGTTCTCCCAGAGAGCAGAAGCGAGGAATCGTTTTCAGCCTGGGAACTGAGTTCCAACCTGGAAAAGCCCTTAAGGGCCTCATTCTGTCTGAGGGTGGGGGCAAAATGTGGTGCCAAAACCTAGGCGGAGGCAAGCAGGGGAAGGCTTCTTCCTAGCCACCTGGCATAAAGGACCAAAGCACTTCATGGCACCTTCAGACGGCCGTCCAAGGACCAAGCCTCTGCAAGCCCACTCACAACAAGGCAAGCAGGACCGCATTGTTCCAGGGCCTGCCTGCTACCCAGTGCAAGGAAGAGCTCTTATCGCCGATCACCAGCTGATTAGAGACCAGAACGTCACTCTGCTATAGCAGGGCAAGGCCTGGGGAAGAAGCTGGCATCAAAGCGCTCATTAAGCTAAGCATTTCCTGAATACTGTGCTCAGCACTGGCCAGGGAGGGCCACCCTGTTGGGATACCAATTGTGGAGAAGGGTTTCCACCCTGCCCTATTTTCCCAGCAAAAATGCTCTCCCCAGGAAAGCAGCGCCTTTGGGGACGTGTACTTCTGCGCGGAGTCTCCTTGCCACCGCCAGCTGTTCCCAATGAAGGGGTTCAATAGGGCAGCCACCTTTCTGCCCGGTAGGGCTCCTCTGCATTTGGCAGCTGCACCGCGCTCCCCAGGAATCCAGCAAATCGCCTTCCCCCCACCTCTTTCCATCGCTCCCTCGCTGCAGGAATGCAGCTCTTGCTGAGTTTCTGCTCCTCGGGTTCCGTCATGAACACGCAGGAGCCCCGTGAGGACAGAAGTTGGCAGCTCAAAACGACAGGCAAGTCAATAGGAGCTACCCAAAAAGCCATTTGTGATTATTTCTCGGTGCCCATAATGGTGGAACTGAAATAAAAAATCCATTAGCAGCAGGAAGTCAGTTAAGAATGGAGTTCTGCTAAGGAAGCTGCCTGGTAGCTGAGGTGGGAAAAGAGGTGGGACATGAGAACAGGCGGATTGTGCAGGCACCAAAATAGTCGGAGAGGAAGGAGTCACGCAGTGCGTGCAAGGGAGGTGTCCAGGACAGTCAAGTGGACATGGAAATTGCTGAGGGGGCGGGGAGGAAGCCATTCCTGGAACAGCTGGTGTGGACCCATTATTTCACATCCTGAAATGGCCTAGCTGGCCTGGGAAGAAGGAGGGCAAAGGCCCGTTGCTATGGCAATGGGCCTTTGGCAGTCCTGAAAGCTGCTCTGCAATGTTTGCAGATGATAACCTGTCTCCAGGGTGTTCGCGGACATTTCAGGGCTCCCTTCTGCCGGCCATGCAATCAAAGCCGGCAAGCAGGCTCCCGGAGGAGAAAGGTCCTTTGCTACGTACTGCGCTGATGAGCCAGTTCATTGGAAGAAGTGTGCAAATGTACTGCTTTATTTCAGCAATAACTAGCAACAATTCACCATATGAGCTTGCAAGGGCCCATGAACTCAAACTGTCAAGAGAGCCATTCAGGAAAACTCACTGCAACATAAGGTTGCAGCACGTTCTCCTAAAAGAAGCGCTTCTGTTCAGGGGTTGCTGTCAGCCAGCCAGCCCATCATACCCTCCTCCAGGACACTGCATTCTGTTCCTCTCCCTGCCGATTCCCCCCTTGTTTCTCAGTGGTCCCATTTCTGCTGACTGCCAATGATCCAGTTCACTATTAGAGGTGGTGAAAATGTGTAAAGTCAAATCTCTCCTCCACTTTCATTTGCAGTATATCGGAACTCCAGGAACACGTTGCAATGGAGTTGTCGCAGTAATTTTCAGCTTGCAATGTACAGATCTGCCACTTCCAAAGCACTTTGAGTCTGACCAGGGTGGGAAATGAGGAAGTTGCTCCTCATGTTTCCCCCATTACTGCCATAGCGGATCTTCGATCTTTAAAGATCTCAAAGATCTTTGATCTTAACCCCTTGCATGGGTTCCCGTGGCTCAAATGGCCAACAATCTCTGAGACGGGGCCATGCCAGGGGAACAAGGAAGCTTTGGCTCGATGGCCATGATTCCCCCCCACCTCATATTGCCCCAGCTGAGTCCCCACCTTTACTGGAAGGCCGGACTGCAGTTCTCCAGTGCCAGCAGGGGCTTCTGCAAGGCACAGGGTTCTCCCACTGGTGAAGCCCCACTCCATCACTGGCTTTTGCACCCCGTCTTAATTCCCCCTCTGCTATCATTCAATGGGGACTAGGACTGGTCTGGCACTATTCTGAGCAAGAACTAGAACTTTAGACAGACAGACCTTTCCCTTGGACGGTCCAGAGGCTTTCGCTGGCTTCAGAGCCAAAACGAACTGCAAAAGCACAAAGTATTCCTTAATATACCTTACTCTTCCTAAACAATGTCAAAGAAGAAAAAAGGTAGCACTGCACAATGGGGGTGGAGAACTTCAGGAGGTCTGGGATTCGTTTTGAACCCACCCCCAACTCTCTGCCCCCTGCCACGCTCCTGGGGTTGCACCACCAGTGCAGTGGCTGCACCCCAAAACAACATTCTTCCCAAAAATAAAATGGTGATCCGACACTGAATTTCCAGGCTTTGTTTCAAAGTAAATTTGTGTTTTTGACCCCGTGTGATAGTTTGCAGCTCAAACGGCAGCAAGGTGCTGGGCAGTTCTACCACCACAAATTTCAGTGCTGCAGAGACGGGGCTGTGCAGGATTGCTAATTTCCAAAAAGCAACATATAAAAACATGCAAATGAAACCCCTTAATAGCCCTGGCTCTCACATATCTATAATAAAACCGAGCCAAATGTGTTTTGACATAGCATCTTTATCAGCTGCCCAGCAGAGCCGTGTCTGCTGCAGATACCTCACATGACCTTTGGCAGTTTACTGAGCTGGCAAGCTGAGCTGCGGGAGCCTGGTTACTGTCACAGCACCAAGCTTCTCAAGTTACACAAACCTCTTCACAGGCTAATGCAGAAAGCCCACAGCCTTGCACATCAGTGCACACGGGTTCAAACGCCACCAGTACATCTGTTCTGTAGCAACGCTGAAAGGAAAACCAGTGTTTCTTTGAAGCCTGAACCAGGGAGGCCTGGTAGAGCTAGCAGGTATGCAGTTCCTGCTTCCTTCTCTCCTACCCCAGGCTTGCCATGTTCAGACAATCAGGTCCTTTAAATAAACCTCTCTCTGGCTTGGAAGCTTGGCTGTGATCACTAACCATGAGGAAAACACTCCTGTCCTTTGGCTCACTCCGATTGAAAGGCCATGCTCTAATGCTTTCTGCAGCAAACACCAAGCTGGAGACATCTTTGTGCAAAATGCATCCATCTGACAGACACAGAGCCCTGGGCTTCCATGCTCTAAATATCAGGTACCAGTTCCCCCCCAAAGTTGGGCGGGAGAAGAGACACAGTACTCTATTTTCCTGCCCAACTCTGAAATGGAACTGGATCCCCTGATCCTGACCTGAAGAAATGAGGCATTTGCCCAAGCAACCTTGCATTCCCCCAGCCAGAGCCGGGCGCAAGGACATATTCTTCAGATTAACAAATAAAACATACATTCAGTCCAGGAAGTTGTCTCCAGTTCCAGAAACGAGCTCACCATTTACTCACAAAAAACCCCATCCCTGGCCATCCTCCCAAGCTTTCATCAATCCCAACCACTGAATTTAGAAGGAGAAGAAGGTTTTTCTCTGCTGCCGTTGCTAAACAGTTGCTAGAAGGAAACCCTCAAATCTCCCAGTGATCTACCAGCAGATCCAGATCTGTCTAGGGCACACGTTTGATTTTTTTTCCCAGATCAAGTTCAAGCCTATCAAATGTTAACTTGCAGCTGGATGGGGAAAATGGGGCATGTCCACTCAAGGCATGTATTGAGGACTTGTGATCCTGACTCATGGAAGTCCACAGGGTCTTTTCACAATATCCTCCTCCTCCAGAGCCTCTCCCAAGTTTTCCAGCTATTTCATGCCTTTTTTTCAGAGCGAGGAAAGTTTGGCATGCTCCTAGATGCTGCCATCATTCACTAGAGAAGCCTAGTGTACTTTTGCAATGGCTATAGAGAATATAAAAAAGCAGAGGGGACCCCCCCACACCAAAAAAAAGCTACCTTCCTCTGAATGGCATGCTAATCCTCTTGCAAAGAAAACAAGAGAAAGCCTCAGCAACAGGTCAGATGAAATGACTCATGAGGAGAAGCTTCCTGGGTCACCCCTTATGGATCTGTTCCCCTGCACATTTCTGACCATCTCTGAATATGGAGTCATGGGGTCCCAAGCAATCAATCACAGCCATCATCATCTTAGAAAGTCCTTTTTGAGAGCTCAAAG